TAACCGCTACGAGGATTRTACGAACCGATTTTATTATTTTTACTTAAAGTTACAATAATAACCCATGTAAACTAAGATCAACTGCGATCGGCTGTGAAAATTATCTGTTGAAAGTAAACTTGTAAATTTGTTTGTCCGAATTTCGCCTTTGTCTTAGTTTTTATGACGTCACGGTTGCGCTGCGCTATTGTGGAATTCTCTGCCCAGTAACCTACTTAATTGCCAATGCCCAGACTCCTTCCGCAACAAACTCTTATCCCTCGGCACATGACAATTTGTTTTTATAGTATTAATTTATAGCCATATTTTTAATCAAATTATAATGTTATTATATTTTCTAAATTACTTTATAATTATATTGAATATCTTGTAATTAAACTCGCACACGCGCCTATAAAATATATATGTAATTTTTCTTTTGTCTTATTCTATCATATATACACTCCTTTCTACCACTTCTTTCTCTTTTACTCCGACGAAGGACTAGCGTCCGAAACGTCAGTAAGATTTTTCATCTTTTCACGGTGTATAATTTACCTTTTCATCATTACTGTTTCGTTAGAAACACCGACGCAGCTCACACTAGTTTTTAGCTAGTTATATCTTTATAAAAAAWTTTTTTTTTTTACTATTTTGAACCACGCCCATATTAGAAATCAGCATATCGTTGCATATATTAGCGTCTCTAAATAAAGTTGATCATCATCATCATCATCATCATACAACGACAACTCCAATCTTTTCTCGCTATCCCCTTTCTTCAATATTTATAGAACTAAATACTAAGGTAGACACTTACCTGACGCCTTGAGCTGACTTGCAACAGACAGAAGAACTAAAAGAAAGAAGAAAAAAGAATATACTTCTAGTTACAAACAAATTTTATATAGAAAATAATCTCTTTTTTTTTTTCGCGTTAAAACTCGCATGGAATTTTTCAGATTTTTTACTTTTACTTAAATATCAAAATACTTTCGAAAAATGAATTAAAAAAGGAAAGTCCCCGACTTTGTTTTAGAGCTATAAGAGATTATAAAATAACTGTTATGAATCTCGCATTCTGATTAGCTGGGAGCGCGTGCTTTATGAGCGTCATTACTATCTAAGATAACGGTTATTGTCATTTGTATTTAAAGAAAATAAATAAAAACCTTGCTTGCTGTGCTGTGTGCAGTCATAAAGTACTTGGGGATTGGCAGAACACTCGAGAAGTGTCTTGAAGTACTCCGCTACGCATCGTGCTTCTCCTAACACTTCTCTCGTGTTCTGCCAATCCCCGCGTGCTTTATGACTGCACACAGCACGCGCGAGCGTTTTCTATTTCTTCTCATAAACTAACTGTTATAAATGTTGCGTTCTGATTGGTTGGGAGCGCGTGCTTTATGAGAACACTTTCAGTTGCGTCATTCCTATCTAAAATAACGATTATTGTAATTTGTATTTTATAAAAGAAATAAAAAAACTTGCTTGCTGTGCTGTGTGCAGGTATAAAGCATTTAGGGATTGAGAACACTCGAAAAGTGTTCAGATACGCGTCGTGCTTCTCCTAACACTTCTCTCGTGTTCTGCCAAACCCCGCGTACTTTATGACTTCACACAGCACGCGCGCGCGTTTTCTATCATCGCGGCGAGCGCAGGCTCATTACGTTCATACTTAGAAAAGCGTCGAGCTTAAAGTGCTTATAAGCCTTTACACAATATTTCACGAATTGATTCTTTAAACAGTGAATAGTTGATTGTGAAAATAATTCGTCATTTGAATGTCGGGTCTTTGAGATACGAAGGTTTATATTTCYAATATGTTAATGACTATGACGTAACATAAGGGATTTGAGTTATTTTGTGGCAACTTTTAATATTGAACGCTGAACATTTTTTGAAAACAAATTTGTAAGAACCTTTACGTGAGTCACGAGCAAAAGGGTGATGCTTTTAAAATACTGTATCCCAGAACGAGTGCAGTGTTGTATATTAAATGATCCCTTATGTTGCGTCATAGTCATTAACATATTGGGAATATAAACCTATACTAAAATGAATTTCTAATGATTATAAAACTTTGGGAAATTTATATACGGCTTCTACCTAAATACTTTTTTAATTGTAATTTCATGATTGTTATCCTTCTATTATTTCATCAATAGTAAAGAAAAACAAGTATTAGTTTCTATGGTAACTATACAAAACATTTTTTTTCTGCAGTTATTAAAGTGCTACTACGACGAAAATCGCTCAAACTTGGATTCAGCTGAAACTTCCTAAAAATACTCTTTWAAGGTCCAATAWTCACTGTATGAAGTGTTTTCTCGATATTCAGGACGAAAGTATGATATTTTTACGATTATTTTTTGGAGTCTGTGACGTCATACACTCAACATCAAACATTGCTACATATATTTCTTTGTATATAAATCCTTAATTTATTTTATTCCTATGAAGCCCAAAGGGTGGCTAATGTGCTTATTTCACATTACTTGTGACTATGATTTATATTTTGGGGTGTTTGGGTATTTCTTTCTCCCTTTACTACTGATATTTTGATCATAAACTACAAAGAAATGTATGGAGCGATGTTCGATGTTGAGTGTATGACGTCACAGACTCCAAAAAATAATCGTAAAAATATCATACTTTCGTCCTGAATATCGAGAAAACACTTCATACAGTGATTATTGGACCTTTAAAGAGTATTCTTAGGAAGTTTCAGCTGAATCCAAGTTTGAGCGATTTTCGTCGTAGTAGCACTTTAAGACTTCAATTCAATGGAAAAATTTCGAGTTTAATTTCAAAAATCCTGCTTTTTTGATATGAAATTAGTCATGGGTGGAAAGAATGGACGTTTTTAGATTTTGTCTTGGGAATTGTGTTGAGATTTTACCTCGYAATTTGTCAATACCTCGCAATGTTTGAGTTTAGGTACGAGTCAGTCGACCATGTCTTCACAGGTTAAGCTTATATACTAAATTGATAAATCGCTTAGAAAGGGTTTGTACGGGTCTTTCTTGTCTTATCATCGTTTTAACGATAGTTGATATTTATTTTTGAGACAAAATTGGTTATTTCTAAGTAAAAACTGGAAAAAAAAAGTAACAAAAAAGACCACGAAAAAAAATCTAAATTTCTGTAAAACAAGACTAGGGTAAAAAGCAAACAAAGAATATTGCCATAGAAATCAAACTTGGACCGTGATATGTCTCTCTTATTTTGCGTTTGGTAATTGTAGACGATTTGGGGTGATTTGAGAAGTAAAATCATTAATTTAATCTAAGCCAAACACAAAAGATAATATARTATGATGTTTAGAATGTCCCTTATTTGAACCTTTCAATACTAAAGTTAAGGGCCAGGAATTCGAAAACCTCTTTCCTGGCCCAGCTTAAGGCGTCAAGTGAATCTGATAGTCGGTGGAGATCAACTGAGGCTTCTTTTACACGGTTCAGGAAGAATTTTTAACGGGTCAAAACGTCGTACGTTTAGGAGTTTTACTCACACGGGACTGAGCTATATCCGAACAAAAACTTCTTATGCCTAGCCGAGCACATTCGGGACCGGTTCTGTATGAACTAAACATATTTTTTTACACAATTAAAGGGACGGTCCCGTGTAAACGGTACTGCATGTACACGTCAAATTATTGAGCGGTTAAAAATTCGTCCGGTACCGTGTAAACGCAGGTTTAGAAAGAGCACACGACTTCCAACAGTACTGATCCAATACGAACATCTTCTCTTGAATCAATTGGAATTTAACTCACCTAAAGCCGCCAGGCTTATTCGAAGTTTTCCTTCCATTGAAGTCGGGTTTTTATTTCCTTGGTTGATAGGCTTAAGACCCTTAATTTGAAGGTCAGTTCGACGAGTTCATATCGACAGCTGTACAAGCTGTACACGGATGAACGAGGGATTCTACTTGGCCGGTAAAACAAAGTTGTATAATTAATGACTAACAATCCAAGTAAAACAAAAGAAAACAATGGAAATTAGTATCTACTACTGTGTATTACGTTGACTATTCCTTTCAAGTGAAGAAAAATAACTCTCATATCGTAGGACGGTAACTACACCTCTTGCACCCTAAGGTAGATGTTGGATTACTTCAGTTTCGAGTTCTCTGTTGCTCAGGGTTAGCCTCGATTTTGTGTAGAATATTCACGCGTTCCAGTGATGGTCCGTGGAATTTCAAAGTGTTTGTATCGTTGAAGTTGTACATTCTTTACTTTACCGTTGGTATTTGTAAATATTTAGACACTGATAGATGCATGCGCGTTTTAGGTCCCGTCCACACGTATCCGGAAATTTTGTATCCGCAAATTATTTTTTGCGTATACGAAAATGTTTGCGTCTACAAGCAGCGTATTCGAATCGTTTTCACCGTCCACACGTATCCGTTTTCGTAAAATTTGCGGATACGGACACAAAAATTTGCGAACACGTGTGGACGGGGCCTTATATTTCTTAGATAAAAACTAATCTATGAAATTATATAAAGGAAATGATCACATTAAGAAACTGCACAACCCAAGTGAAAGTGTGCGTGCGTGCTGTGTGCTCTCATAAACCACGCATCGTCAACCAATCAGAACGCGAGATTCATAATAGATTCTTTATAAACTCAGCTTATAAAATTATAAAAAAACTGTTATAAATCTCTCGTTCTGATTGGCTGGGAACGCGTGCTTTATGAGAGCACACAGCACGCACGCGCAATTTCACTTGAGTCATACGTATCCAAATTGAAGGCTATTGTAACCGTTATTTTATTTTCTTAAGAAGTGTTGAGAAGCACTCCACTTATAACACTTCTCTCCCGTTCTGGTAATTACCCCCGCGTGTTTTATAACTCCACACAGCACGCGCGCGCGTTTTCTATTTCTTTAATATAGGTTTTGCACCATCACGTGACGGTAGCCATGTTAGATGGCAGGAACATTACAATCGTTTTACATGAGAAAGAACAAAATTCTCAAGAGAAAAGGTATTTTATTGTTCTGCCATCTAACCACAGGCAGCCCAAGCCGTTATATTGGCCTTGGACACGTGATGGCGCAAAACCTCTATTCAACTTTTCACTTCATGCAGAATCAATACTTGTTATATTACAATCTCATATTTTTAAACTCTACTTTATCGTCGATCTTCGAGATATGTGATTTCTTATGAACTTCCACTTTCTTGCATTCTATTCATTGCAAATACAGTCAAAACTGCGCCTTTGAGCTTTCTTTTAGCATTAAAGGGCCACTTGGACGAAAATCGCTCCAAAATTAAAACTCTTTCATTCGAGCTGGAACTTTGCTGAAATAATCTTGAA